CTGTCTGCCTGTCTTTCTGTCTTTCTATCTGTCTGTCTGTCTGCCTGAACTACAAGATGCTGCTTCATGGTCATACACACATTTTACCTGCACCATTTTACTTTTCTACATGCTTATTTTCTTTTAATAAAAACACTAGTCTAGAACCAGACAATTTTTTCTTCCTAATATTTTTCAGATCTGTTAACATGAATGTTTTTCAGGTGAAATCGGCTGCATCGTGCTGCATTCGTGCACTTCATGTTTCTGACACTAGATGAAGACATTGCCTCATGAAACAAACAGAATTTTCCAGACTAGTTTCATCTAAAAATCCAATAGTCTTTGGGTTTAAAGGCTGATTTGTGCATCACCTCGTTGGCTTTAAGCACTTTTAGACGTTTTAGCGTCAGTCCAGATGATTTAACAGGAACGTCAATAATTCTCCTGACTCAGCTTTTTTTATCTGAACGACCTAATGTCGTCCAGCTTAAAGTAAAAATTCCCTTTACTTTAATTTCTGTACATTTAAATAAATGCTATTTTAGTTCAGCCAAGTTATATAAAATAACCCTAACAAGTGCAGTTTATGATCATGTAGACCAGACGTGGGCAACGTATGGTCGGAGGGCCAAAAGTGGACCAACTTGATCCGGATTCAGGCCCCCCCGAAAATCTGTTCCTTTGGGGAAAGATTGGCCACATTAGAACAAGTAGTATAAACCAATTATAATCACATATTTATCGTATAAAATAATGCAGTCCTCTCAGTAATTATTTTTCTTTTTGTTACTAAACTTTCAATGTAATATTAGCCCACAAGGTGGTGTTTCACTTTTATATTTGCAGCCTCTGAAACTGTCCGGGGCAGCACGGTGGAGCAACTGGTAGAGCTGCTGCCTCTCAGCGAGAAGGTCCCTGGTTCAAATCCCGGTCCGGGGGCCTTTCTACTCCAGTTTCGTCCCATAGACCAAAAACATGCATGTTAGGCTGATTGGTAACTCTAAATTGTCTCTAGGTGTGAGTGAGAGAGTGAATGGTTGTCTCATTTGTCTCTATGTGTCCCTGTGATGGACTTGCAACCTGTCCAGGGTGTACCCCGTCCCTCGCACAGTGATTGCCGGACATGGGCACCGGCGACCCCCGTGACCCAAAAATGGAAGAAGCGGGTAAAGATAATGGATGGATGGAACCCAAACAGGAAACTTTCTTAAATCTAGATGCAGCGACACACTAAAATGGAAGTTGGTACCTCAATTAATCTTCCAGTTATCATGCTCACAACATGAACGGATAGTTGGAGGGTATTTCCAATTCCCCATTTTCGCTCCAGGACAGGGACACTTAAGGTTAACAATTTAAAATTATGGTCAAAGTTCAGAGGCAGTATTATAAAAAGAATTGAAAACCTCAGAGTTTTAATTAACCTGAAGGACAGAGTAATGTCTGTCCACTCAAAGTCTTTGATCCAGATGTGATTTGTGCATGCTCACGGCTGGATCACGTTCAGCATTAGTTTCATCATAACAGATGCATGAAGACAGGCCCACCCACTAACTTGGTGCTGCAGGGATAATTCAGTATTTAGTGTGTTTCGAA